AGATAAAGCACTCCAGAATCTAATTACACATGCAAAAAAAAATTTGTTCGGACTGGTGTGGCATAGAAAAGATGTTTAGTGGAATGATATCTTTTGAAAGAAGACTTAAGACTTTAGTCCTAGTACAAGGTCATTTGAGATAATTGCTCCTCTATGATGTGATAGGAAAGTCAGTGTCTAGGAGGAGACCTCTGACCTGCAGTGTGCTTAGCAGAGTGTCCTTTCAAGCACTGGTACGTTTTGTCATACCCTCTTGCAGTCTTCTCTGCTTGAAGCATGTTTTCGGTTATGTCTCCTGGATTACTGCTTAGATAGATCTCTTCATCCTGCTCATTCTCCTCTGCTTCCAAAGCCTGCCGTAGTCTGTCATCTTGATCACAGTCTACAACTTCCTTGTGAGGGTAAGAGGATGAGTAGACACTGATCTCTTCTGTGTGGTGACCAGTGACAGGACCTGAGGGAATGGCCTGAAGTTGTGTCAGGAGAGGTTTATGTTGGATATTAGAAAAATGTTCTTCACCCAGAGGGTGGTTGGGCACTGGAACAGGCTCCCCAGGAAAGTGGTCACAGTACCAAGCCTGACAGAGTTCAGGAAGCATTTGAATGATACTCTCAGGCACATGGTGTGATTCTTGGCAATGGTCCTGTGCAGGGCTAAGGGTTGGACTCAATGGTCCTTATGGATTCCTTCCTTCAGAAGATTCCGTGGTTTGGGATCCTTAAATATTTGGAGTCTCTTCCTTTGGCTTTTAGTTTCTGATTAGAGACCAGTGTCAGGGAGTAAGAATAGCTTAAATAACACTATCTCTTAGCATTTGGACCTTTTACACTGCTTTGATTCCTTTGTCAAATCCTTTTGGTCTGCCAGCACAACTAAGGGATACAGAATTTCTTTGTGATGGATATTTTCACCCATGGTGTATAAGCATGGTTGTGGACAGTAGGGGAGAGGTTAATTCACACTACTGGTTGATCATTTGCAGTAATATAGCAGTCTAACTGCTGTTGCAAAATTAATACTTTTTGTATGAAAGAAACAAAGCAGAACAACAGGACTTCTAAGGTAACATGATGATTGATACGTATGCTACATCCACAGAAGGAAAGTTGCACCAGCTCTGAGTCAGCTTTAAACCCTAGGGAAATTCTGGTTTGGCTCCAGTTTTACAAAAAATTGAAGTTGTAGCTAACTTCTCTGGTTATTCAACAGGCCTTTCTTGTCCTGCGAAACTGATCTGTAATTTGTGGACCAGGGGACTGGTTTGTCACAACTTATTGTGGCTTCTGAACTTTTAGACCTTTTATCAGGTAGACCAAGTGGTGTCCTGAGAAAGCTTTGTAGAAGGATTTGTGTGGTTGCAGGGAATTAAAGAAAGTAACCACCGTACAGTTCTGGAATTTTTGGTATTTTATGTATGCCTGAGAAGTGTTTGTGTCTGGTTCTGTACTGGGTTGTCAAAGACAACTGTTGTTTATTAAGGCTCACTTTCCAAACTGCAGCCTATTATTTTTTTCAGTGCTTTTTTTACTCAAACTGGTTTAGAAGGGAACAGGGAAAAGTTTGTATTTTAGATTAATGTGTTTAATTTTTTCTCTAGAAAAAATCCCATTAATATGGTACATTATAACATTCACAGGGAGTTTGAATTTTTCTGGTCTGGGAGAAGATTAATACCAAACAAGAAAACCTTTTGAAGTTCAGAAAAATTTATGCAGTATAAAGAACTTTATGCACATCTGCCAGCAAGTTTTTGTTTCACAGAAACTATTCAGATCAGAAGAGAGGAAGTTCCTCTGAGTTTTAAAATATATTGGTGAATAATGTATTTTTGAACTTCATTAGAATGAAACTTAGTCCACTGCCTTGGTTTATGGATTTCATAGCACTTTCCCTTAAACACAACTAATGTTTATAATAACTTGCTTGGATACAATGTATGATCCCGTAGTAAGTATAGGCCTTGGCTTTGAAAATATTCCTTATGACAGCTGTTCTTTATTTAAAAACTAGAGACAACTTTTCTCTTTTTTTTCTTTTAGTTGTTATTTTGAGTGGGTTTGCTAGTAGTACCAAATGTACAATATATGTTCAATTTGAGAAGCTTTTGTTTTCGTATCAACAATCCTGATGTCTCAAAGTCTTTTTTCTTTGCCCTGATATTTGTAAATACAGTTCTTTTATGTGCAACTACCGCTAACAGTTGTAGTTAACGTCACTTGTTTCTTAAATGCTCTTTATCTAATTTTTTTATGGGTTCCTGACTTTTATACTCTTTTAATAAAGCATTTATGAATACTGACTCATGCATAAAAATGTAAGAACTGCTTTAAATTACTTGTGACTAAATAAACAATATTTTACTGGTTTTAGAAAAGGAAAGGAAGATTTAGGAAGGAACGATCTTCTCCAGAAGGTCAGCTAAAATTCTTCTGATACTTAAGAACCACCTACTGGTGGTTCTTCTACACACCACTGCTGTGTGAAGCTATAGTTATCAGAAGTGTAAGGACAAATCCTTAGGTAGATTTTCACTATGAGAAGAAAGCATATAGGAGTTAGGGTGAAGGATAGACGTAGTGAAACCATGTCAGATAATAGAATTCAGCCAACTGCTACTGCACATGTTACATGGGTGAATCTCCTCACATCTGCGTTTGGGTACGTTGTCACTGTTCTCAGCTGCAGAAGACAGTCTTAGAGAGCTGACCAGACTGGTGTGAGTTAGCTCAGCATTTCCACACACAGCTGTCAGCAGGATTGGCATGTTGAGATACCCAAACTCTCTGCCATCTGAAAGCAGCTAGATGGAATGAATTCAGACAGTAGAGATTCAGGAATAGTAGAAGTCAGTGGGGAAGACAGATAGGATAGAACAGGCTCATAGGTTTACCTGTGAAGCAGGGATTCATTTCTGGATGAGGGAAAAGGAATAAGAGTAATAAGTAAAAAAAAGCATTTAAGAGTAGCAAAGCATCTAACCATGCTGACAGGTGTAAGTAAACACTAAAAACTGTGTTACAGGTTTTTTTGAAAGTTATTTTTAATACAGAGATGTGAGACAGGCCACCTGAATCAGTTGCATTGCCAGGTAAGAATAGCAGGCTGCCCAAGGCAATGATGGGCACCAATCAGGCTTCAAGCTCAAGCAACTACATCTTAAAAACACTGCTGTGTTATGTAGTCCTATTCACTTGGGAGTTTCCATGCTGAGCTGCTTTTTTGAAATACATGTGTGACTGAAGCTGACGATTTTGCCTCATCCTGTTCCTTATCCCACTCATGTCTGGTATTCTCTGGCTGCCCTTGGAGCCCAAGGATTTGGGGCATAGAAATGTAACAGATCACAAAGACTGTGAATAAGGCATTTTGAGGTTTTGCAGACTCACCTATGTTTGCATGGAGCACCTTGAGTTGGTAGTTCTGTCTGCTTAAAATCTCAACCACCTCAAACAGCTGTTTGTTTGGGTTTTTCAGGCAGGTTGGGTTCTACACTTAAATCCTGTGAATTGTCTATTCAATTCTAATTTATATTGGCTGAAAATAAAAGCTAATGATTTGTGATCAGGCAGAGCTGATCGAAGAGGGAAGGTATGGGGTAATAATAGTTTTCTTTCTTATTAATCCTTTTATTACTGCAGTAATCCTTTCAATTATACATAAAATGTGACTTAGGAAGTATCAATTCAGTGCCTCTGTGTTGGGGAGTTCTAAGGGTTGAGGAAGGAAGAGATAGGGAAATAACTGCTGTATGTAAACATAAAATGCCTTGAGAATCATGGCATTTGTCCTGTGACATCAGCTCTAGTTTAACTGTGAGGTAGGATAACACCTCATTAGATCTCAATTAAGATGTTCTGATTTTATTCATTAGAGTGTAATAAAAGCAAAGGATCTTTTTGTGTCCTTCCTTATGGAAGAGAGATTAAATCAGTCTGAGAACCTCTGTTAGCAAAACTTTTGTCTTAGTAGGAAAAGAAACTGTTCGTAGTAAAGACATTGTCATGTGATGGCCGTGGTGTTTCTGTAAAATGACAGAAATTAAACATTTTAATGGAAAGCCTCTGGGGTCACTCAAGCCAGGCATTTAATTAGTGGGCGACATAGTTTGGCTTTGTTCTTTCATACTAAGAGCATGCTTGAGTCTTTCTGAGGTGTCAGGTTTCCACAGGCAGATATTTGTATGTATTGTCATGTCACTTTGAAGTATTGTCATTCTTCAGACCCAGTTATTAATGACAGTTTTTTCAATCTAAATTTTCTGAGTCAGAAAATCTATTTTCTAATGGTTTATTAGAAAATTATGAAAAGGGAAGCCAGGGAGAGGCTCTGATGGCACCTCTCAGCCTTCAGACTCTAGTTCCTTAACATATATTTCTGAGGCAGTGACATGTGATGTGAAAAGACAATGCACTGTGGTGGCAGTGCTGCTTTTGTAAAATAAAACCAGTGCTTTTTGTACTTGTAGGGGAACCTTTATTGTAAAAATTCTGCATGTGGAATCTCACAGAAGAGGTACGTTAGAGGCAAGATAGGACCCATCTTCCTCTTGCAACATTGAACCACAGATAATCTGCTAAGCACTAGATACTGTCATGCAGGATGTTTTTCTCCCAGCTTGCTGATCAAGTTAATTTCCATTAGTCATCTGAGTCTAAGTACCAAACATGGAATGCATTTTTCCTAAACGAGACATACTCTTTGGAACAGAAGCTAGAGCTACAAATTTTATGAGCGCTGAAATATCCGTGGCAGTATTTCAGTTTTCCTCTCTTGCTGAAATTCTAGTACTGGAGCTAAGAATACTGTTCAGATACATAATACAGTCAAGTCAGTAGATGAAGACTTTTCAGGACCTTAATCTAAAAGATATGTCATAATTTTGTTCTTTATTATGTGCTGTATTGTCAATATGTTGCAGTGGCATTTGACATCACTATGAATCCTGCAATACACATTGCTATCTGGGCTTCTAATTATTTGTTTATTTTTCCCTCTGCAGTTCAGATGGAGAAAATGGAACAGATGAAAAGAGAAAGGCAGGAAAATTGCCTACTGTGTTGCTGCAGACCCCCAGCAGTGAAATGGAGTATTTTGATGATCGGAAAAAAGTTGATGTTGCTAGGTAATGTCAGAAATACTGTCAATATTCCTCTGGTCAAATTATTAGAACGGTTACAACCAATTAAAAAAGCTAGACTGAGTAGCACTCAGTGCAAATAAACAGGAGTCAGCCCCACTTTCCAGGGTTGCTCTGTTACCCAACACAAGCAGTCAGAATAGTGGGAATTTAATCTTTGAGCTGGCTTAGTTTCCCTGTTCTAGGAAAAAATACATTACACTGTTTGTTGCCATTGCTAGTTACATCCCTTTCACAATCAATTTGACAGGCAGTCAAACTGAGCTGCAGTTTGAGTCCTGACCTGTTTCCAGAACACTTTCATGCTGGAATATTGATTGTCCATGGTAAAACTATGACATAAGTTTTAATTTTAGATTCTCAGTTCTATATTGCAGTAGATTATTGTAATGTCCCCACAGAAACAGTAATTATTACTTTGTTGGAGAACTGGAATGCATTTTAAACTCTTCTAAAAGAAAACTGAGTAGTGCTAAAATCCCGCTTGAATAGTTTGCACACAGCTTTTGCATCCTTTTCACTTTGAAATTCACTGAGCAGTGAATTCAAAAGTCAGTGGTCAACCTGACATTGTGGGTTTGATCACAAGGCAAATATTTAAAAGACATCACTTAATTTCATGAAGCATCTTTGAGGAAAAGATATTTGAAGGAATATGTCATTACTTTTTTTTCCCCTGAGTCTTTCTAGTGTTACCTCTCATAATGTAATTGACTGTGTTTGGTGAGGCATAGGCATGAGTTTTTTGTAACTTGTGCTTTAGATAAGCACAGAAATACATGTGCGCATGTATTTCAGTGTTTTCTTCTCTGAGGAACCACCTGAGATAATGCAGCCACTTCCCCTCTTATCTAAGTCAGTCCTACTATACAATCTCTTTCCAGCTGTGTCTCCATTATACTTAGGGTTTCTGTTCCTCTCACCCTTAGAGATTTTATTGTTAGTTCTGAGCCTCTCAAGTTTAGACAAGTAAAGAAGACTTGTTATGCAGGATATGGTGCAGTAATAGAAACTTCTCACAGAATCACAGAATATGCTGATTTGGAAGGGACCCACAAGGATCACTGGATCCAACTTCTGGCCCTTAACAGAACCATTCCAAAGAATCACACCATGTACCAGAGAACACTGTCCAAACGCTTCTTGAACTCTGTCAGGCTTGGTGCTGTGACTTCTTTCCTGGGGAGCCTGTTTCAGTGCCCAAGCTGGGTGAAGAATCTTTTTCTAATATCCAAGCTAAACTTCCCCTGACACAACTTCAGGCTATTCTCTCAAGTCCTATCACTGCTCACGACAGAGAAGAGATCAGTGCATGCCCATCCTCTTGCCCTTACAAAACTGCAGTGAGGTTTCCCCTCAGACTCCTCCAGGCTGAACAAACTAAGTGATCTCAGCCACTTCTCATATGGCTTCTCCTCAAGGCCCTTCACAATCTTCGTTGTCCTCATTTGGACACTCTCTAATAGCTTAATATCTTTCTTATACTGTGGTTCCCAAAACTGCACACAATATTCAAGGTGAGGCCACCCCAGTGCCGAGCAGAGGCAGGACAATCCCCTCCTTTGACTCGCTGGCGATGCTTTCCTGATGCCCCCCAGGACAGGGTTGGCCCTCCTGGCTGCCAGGGCACTGCTGACTCAGATTCAACTTGCTATCAGCCAGGACCCATAGATCCCTTTCCATGGCACTGCTTTCCAGCATCTCATTGCCCAGTCTTTCTGTACACCCAGTGTTCCCCCACCTCAGGTGCAGAATCCAACACTTTCCCTTGTTGACCTTCATACAGTTGGTGATTGCCCAGTCCTCTGATTTGTCGAGGTCTCTCTGCAGGGCCTCCCTGCCTTCGAGGGAGTCAACAGCTCCTCCCAGTTTTGTCTCATCTGCAAACTTACTTAGTATCCCTTCCAGTCCTGCATCCAAGTAATTTATGAAGTTGTCGAATAGCACAGGGCCCAAGATGGAGCCCTGTGGAACCCCACCAGTGACAGGTCACCAGTCTGATGTTACCCTGTTCACTGTTACCCTCTGTGCTTGACCGTGAGCCAATTGCTCACCCACCACATGATGTGTGTATCCAGCTGTGTACTGGGCATTTTGTCCAGAAGGATCATGTGAGAGACAGTGTTGAAAGCTTTATGGAAATCCAAAAAGATTATGTCAACTGGCTCTTCCCTTGATCATCTACGTGAGTTACCTTGCCATAAAAGGAAATCAGGTTTGATAAGCAGGAATTTCCTCTCTTGCAACAGTACTGGCTTTGACGAAAAACTGTGTTGTCTTTCAGGTGTTTTGGAATACCTCCCGGAATAATCTTCTCCGTAACTTTATGAGCACCTTTCTTTCCCCATTGTATCTTCAGCACAGCATGTTCTTCGGGTCTTTCAGTATAAGAGTCCTGTGATGTGTTTTTACTTCTGCTCTTCAATCTGTAACTGAAGGCATATGAAAAAGAGCTGCCTGATTTTTATAGTGTGTTGATATGCATTTGTTCTGTGCTAAATAGCTCTCAGAGGTAATGTTCTCTTCCTGACTTATGAAACAATTATTGTACCTCTCTGTTTTTCTGAACAGTCCAGGCCATTAATTCCTCCTTTATAAATCAGACAAAACTTATTTTCCCAGCCATCCACAGAGACTTTCCTCTGTACTTGTTCTTCTCTAGAGTTGTATGATGAGTTTTTTTGTTTTCCAGTATAAATACCTAGAGCTGTACAGGTACAGCTTCCTACACAACTGGCACTCAGAATTTTGTTTAATCTCCTCTAGGGTTGCTGGTTATCTTAATGATTTCATTATGCTACACAACACAGTTCATAGCCATCCTCTGACTTGTACATATGTGTTTCTTCTCTGTTGCACTTTCAAATGAGCTCACTTCCTGTAATACACATTCATAGCTTTCAGCACACTACCTTTCACTTTCAACTACTAAGTTTTATCTTACTTCATCGTGCATTAGTAAGGAATCTGCTTAGTATTAGTATTTCACATATTGCCAAGAAACAAATTAATGTGAAGCTAACACTGTAATAGCTAATTCACTAAGTTGTAAATTGTCTTGAAATTTTTGTACTTTCTTACAAGTAAATAATTTAGAATATCTCTTCTAAATTAAAAGTCCACCTTCAGGGAGAACTGACATAATTTAAGAATAAGATATACTCCTCTTTATTTCTGTGTAATTCTTAATGAATTAGATAATAGTTATTTAAAGGATTAATATGTGTCATGGAACAGCACATCCTGGTGGTAACATACAAAGACTAATGAACTGAGACCAGGCTTATATCAGATGCTTTTTTTAATCTTCAGGACAAAGAGCAGCACAGATAGTCCAGTCCTGTCAATGGATATCAAGAGTGACTCCAAGATTGAAAGGAAAAAACGTGCCTCAAATCAGGTAGGGCAGAGAATTTACTTGTTTGTTTACATATGTTAAAAATAAGCACATAACTACAATGAGAGGCCTTTTGTTTAGCAATATTATAGTTCATGGTTGTATAAGGATATAGGTTCCTTTTGCATCAGTGTATTAAAGTCTGGGTAAAGCAGATTATAGAGCTAATAGCCACAAAGAAAAAAAATGAGGATTTATTGTAAAACAAGTGGGCAAAATGAGAAGGTATGGGGAGACCAGGAAGTGGAGCAGGTCACTTGATTGTCAGACTGTCTAATAAAGTATGTGTCTTTTGGGTGTGGGGCTTTTTGTTTTTTAGCTGAAGGCAAATGCACACTTTCATAAGCTGTTTCTAGATGTTCCCATTGATGAGCCACTGAAACAAAGTAAGTATTAATCCCTGTATCATTGTTGGCTGTGGATCCTAGATAATGTAGTTACCCAACAACTGTGGTGCTGTACAAGAGGAACTACCTACATTTTAAAAACCTTTAACTCCAGCTGCCTAGAGCTTCAGGGCCTTCACCTACATGCAATGGCCATTTTGATGTAATCTTGCAGATCTTAAATCTTTTTTGGTACTGAATCTTCCTTACTAAAGGCACTACTGAGACAGCACTGGTCAAGTGATTATCTTGAGTTTTTGCTGTTGATGATGCTTTGATACTTAAAAAACGGAAAGGACATCAAATGATTAAATATTCTGCTGTTGCCCGTGGTACTTACAACAAGGGAATTCTATGTAGACGTTTATAACAAATGTTTCTTAAAAGTAATATAAGGAAGGCAATTCATGAGTGAGAAGTGGTTTGCTCAATATCTATGCAGTAAAAGCAGTATTACTTTATGTGGGTTCTACCTCTGGTCATCTAGTTCAGACAACTGCTATAGAGCTAGAAGTTTAAAGCTAAAGCTTTCGTTAAACCCTTTACATTTAAGTAATATAGTTAGCTAAAAGCTAGTGAAAAAGTTTATAGGAAGCTAGGTGGTAGTCTCTCAGAAAGGATTTTTGACTTGTAGAGACCAGTTGCGTGTTACTATTCATTTCAGTCATTATTCTTCAAATATTTTGAGCCTAAACTTAGGCCTGTGACATCTTCTGAGCTTGTCAGTGTCAGTTAATCATTGAAAATTTCAAAGTTTGACAATGTTTATCAAAGTTATTAATCTAAATATATTATGGCTTTGAAAAAAGAACAAAACCAAACCTGAATTGGCTTGGCTTGGGTTGTGATTACTTTGAAGATTATAGAGTATTTATTTGTTTCAGGCTTCACCTGTGCTCTGCAGAAAGAAATTCTGTACCAAGGAAAGTTATTCCTTTCTGAAAACTGGATTTGCTTCCATTCCAAAGTTTTTGGTAAAGACACTAAGGTTAGTAAAATCTTTGTGTATGGAACAGTAATGCTATTCTTAACAATTTGTTCATCACCAGAAATTCAAATTATTATGCAAGAGTAGAATACTAATATTTCTAAGTTTTTTAAATACAGTCTCTATTTAGAAGTGATGCCCAAAATTCACTCTAGAACTGGAGCACTATTATCTTTATTAGAGATTGAGTCTCTTGCTTAAGAACTTTCTGTCTGAAAAAAAACCTGATGAAAGGAGAGGATCAGACAAGCAGCAGTGAGGGTGTTGTAAAACCTGTGTAGCACAAACTGCAAAAATGTCTCTCTTGGGGTAAGTATGTAAAAGAGGAGGAGGGGGAATAATGAAGGCTGAAAAGTATTAAGGACTCCAAGACTATAGCTGGGGAACTGGGGAGAAGAATCAACATATTTTAAGGCAGTTAAAGAGGAAGAACTAAAACTGGCTTCTGACTTGAGTGGCAAAGCTCTTTGAAGCATTCTTCTATCACTCCCGTTCTGCATAAATAGAGAACAGGGAAAGAAAAACAAGTTTGCAAGGTTTTTACCTGTGAGCCTAGCATACAGAGCAGAAATGAGATGTGAACAGTTGGGAAGATCAAAATTTAGTCTTTGTGACCCACCTAAGATTTGGTCCCACTGTGGTAAATGATGTGCATATAGATAAAAATAAAGACTTTGCAAAAAGATCTGTGTTCTGGCTCTGTTGATAAGGAGTGATTTTGTTCACATAAGCTGCTTTTTTTTTGAAGGATTTCTTTGACTTCTTTCTTTCAGGTGCATCCCTGAACAAAGTTCCTGGTTAGATCCAGTGAACTGGATGCTGAAGTCAGTTTAGGGGTTGAGATTACCTTATTTCTCTGCTGTCAACCATTTTGATAGAATACATCTGTCTTTGAAAGGACTTTAAAAAGATGGAATAGTTTTAAAGAACACTTAAAATTATTAATGGCACATTGTCCATTAAAATTGAAGCTGCTTTACTAGCAGCCTTCTATTCAGCATGAACAAATGTGACTAATTCCAACTGTGGAATAGCTTTCTAAATTCAAGCTAAGCTAAATGTTTACAAAATATGGTAGAACTGTACTGAATAGAAAAAAAACAGAAAAAAAGAGGCAGAATAACAGTGATGTAGTACTAGGAAATTATTTTTGTCAACAGGGTTTCAAATGCAGGAATATATACATAAATATATATGATGAAAAGTGAAAACATTTCACAAGATAAGATAGAACAGACAGTATTGTAAATGTGACTGTAGTAAGATTCCAATTCCAATTCTGGGTCTTGTTTTCAGAAAACAGTGTGGGGAAAATTAAGAGTGAAGGGAATAGTCCTTATTGTTTACTTAGGGCTTTGTCCAGTTTTTAGGAATACCATCAACAAAAAAACAGGAAAATCATAAATACAATGAAAATTAATGTAGTGGGAGAGAGAGGAGGAAATCAAGCTTGATAGGAAGAAGAACATTCTTAGCAGTCAGATACACTGACAAAGTCTCCAAGATGCAAAGCCTCTATTGCTTGGAACTTGTAAAACAATTTAAGCCTGGTGATAAAACGTTTATTGTGAGAAATAGCAGATCTACGTGTTCTAATAAAACTTTTTAGATGAATTCTACCTGCAGAATTTTTTTTTGAAAGCTTTGGTGCAGGGAACAACTATGCAAATCCGGAATTTTGCATACACAGTGAAGACAATTGTGCATATTCAAAAATAAGAGATTGCTTCGGCAGGATTGAATAGGCTTTGACAGACATCACTTTCTTTCTGGGTAGCTCTTATTTGGCTATATGTTGGCCTTGAGTCTTTTTTGAATTTAAATGTTGTCTTACATTTTTAAATTGTTTTCCAAGTTTCCTGCAGGTTAACCTTGTATTCTGAAATAATTATTACTTGACATATGAATAAAGTAGCGATAAAGCAGTATTTTTACCATTTCAGTCTAATACATTAAGCAATAAGTAAATGCTTAATCCCACTGAAGTACACTTTAGTCCTGATTACAGTAATGTTATCCAACAAAATAGCGTGCAGTATCATCTCTGATTCAAAGCTCTTGGAGGTGAATTGTGAACTGACATAGAAAACTTGTAAGCTGGTTTTTTTGTAGCTTGTAGCAGGATTTCTGTTCAAACAGTATTTGGCAGTCTTGTAACCAGCCTATTAATGCAATAATATATTTTTTGTTACCTGGAACAATTTTTCATTTCATGATTTGGTGTTACTGTTCTGAACAAAAGTTAACAAGAAGCTGTGCACAGAGTAACTTCATTCTCCTGTAGTAACATGTTTTTAATTCAGTTCTGCGATTGCTCTTTGAACAATCTATGGACACTTTAAACCTTGTTTCCAAATTTCTCAGGTAGTTGTGACAGTCTGTGCCAAAGGAATTTTTAACAGGATCTGTACCTTAATCATGTATATCCAGGATTATTATATTTGCCTAACTCTCTAAGCTTTTCAACTGAGCATCAAACCAGATATTTGTTCCTTTGCAACATGAGCTTTACAAGAAGAGCCCATGCAGAATATCTAAAGTGAAATCCTCTGAAACATTGCAGATGTTAATTAAGCTAATGGGGTTGGATGTAAACACAAAGCAGGAGTGAAGATTGAGAACTTTGCAATGTAAATGTAGTCAAGCCTGGTTGGCACACGCAGAAATCAGTTTAAGTCAGAGAGTGTGTGGATATTGGATCTTTCAATATTGCTGAAGGACAAGCTGTTTACTCACCTGCTTGTTGCAAATCTGCAGCTGGTGAGAAGACTTTTGTGTTCACTCTTCAACAAGCTTCTTTTGTCTGATGTGTTCTGAAATGTTCTAAACAAAGAAACCTAACTCTAAGACTGGTTTGTTCTGCAGGTCTACAGTGAACTAAGCCTATAGTCTTGTGAGACCCAGAAGGGATCAGGAAAGGAAGACATAAGCAGAAGCCTGGATTAGCATTTCATAATAGCAGAAGTAGTTAAGAAATAGTAATAATCTGGAACCATACCTATTCCATATGAAATAATAGTAATCAGGGATGTAGTGGAGAAATCTCTACGAGGGTTTGGCTTATCACAGTTGGTAGGCCGTCCCTTGTGAAAGATTTTACTCCAGATTTGTGTGCACATGTTGGGATTCGAGCACTGCTTCGATCTTGTTTCAGATTAGTATACCCGTGCTGTCAGTGACACTGCTGAAGAAAACCAAAACTGCCCTTCTTGTGCCAAATGCCCTGATCATAGCGACAGTCACAGATAGGGTAAGTACAGGTAGAGGGCAATGGTATTGCACCCTACCCACTTTCCTTTTTTTTTTCTACTTTTTCTTTCTCCTTACTTACCAGCAGTAATATGAAGGCATCTGGAAAGTACCAAGTGGCCACTTAAACAGCTATAGGAATTGGTCACATGTGGGCATTTAGAGTCAGAACCATGAGGTATCTGGTTTGTTGGGGAATGATTCTAACTTCTTCTGCCTCCTCTCTTTTGACAGGCAAGGACAACTTTTTTCCTGTTACTAATTTCCTGTCTTTTTTTCTTTGGATCTGCAGTAAACAAAGCTATGTAGAACTTGGTGAGAAAATGAAAAAAGAACCACAGAATCTCTGTTTGCCACCTGTTCTCTGTAATCTTTCATTCCCTGTTTTCCAAGATTGCTGTCATAGCGTAGAGGGAGCTGAAACAGCACTGAGTTGGGAAGTGCATGCACAGAGGGTTACCTGCCTTGGCAGCTCTGACAGTCTTCTTTCATTTACTTGTGTCTCTTACCTAACCAGCCATACCTTAGACACACAAAAACTGGTTGCTTACAGTGATATTCAGGAATAATAATTGCATCAGTCAGTAGGAAGTGTGATTAGCCTAAGAGCAGCTTTAGAACCAACATACTTTCGTTGCACAAATATTTTGTGGGTACAGGAGACTGTACTCTAAAAGCAAGTTTTGGGTTTGGGATTTTGTTTGTTTGGGGTTTTTTAAGGGGTAGGTAAAACATAGCATGGAAAGTGTTTTTAAAAGAAAGAACAGATCTGGATTATGCTCTGGTTCCTGCAGCAGAACATGGTAACTTTTACGTGCCTGTTGTGATTAACCTCAAGTCATAGATTTAGAAGAAGTGCAGGTTTTTCCTGCTGTACTAAAGTTCTTGAAAGTAGGTACTTGATCTGCAAAACCACTTGTCAGTTTTATTTAAATAAAAGGAAGCTTGTAGTGTGTACTTTTTCCTCAAACAATTGTTGAACTTTTGTTTTTCAGTACATGTTTGTCTCCTTACTCTCCAGAGATACCACCTACAAGCTGTTAAAATCTATCTGTAGACATCTTGAGGTAAGTACTAGAGGGAGTGAGGAAGTACTAGTGGGTATGTAGCTTTGTGTTCTTTATTACTCCCTTTCTGCTGTTAAATACCAGGTAGTTTCCGAGTGTGTTCCTGTTAACACTGCTGCTTTTTTTCAGGATACAAGCGTAGGCAACAGTCCAAATCCCTCTTCTGCAGAAAACAGCTTCAGGGTTGATCGTCCTACAACCCTCCCCCTGGTAAATGGTTTAGAAGTTTGTTCTTTTATTGCATGGCATCTTTGATTGCAAGTACTATTTATAATCTCTTATGAAAGGAAACTGACGGAAACCATGACATCTGCTTCTCAAACTCCGTGATTTTTTAACATTAGAAAACACTTGGAGCAATTAGCATAGGTGTCATTTGAGCTGATCACATGCAGTATATATACATGCATGTGCTTTGGATTTATCCCAAGGTTTGTATGTTCTATATATCTCTGTTTTGCAATCAGGTTTCACTGTACTTGAAGTTACTTCGTCATCTGCCATGAATAGTTTCTAAAGTGTTTTTAGAAGCACTCCTTCCTCTGTAAGCTTGTTCAGACATATGAAAGAGCTGTGTAGACTCAGTGATGACCAGAATCTAAGTCTAGTAATGCCCATCCTGGACTCTCCAGTTTGTATAACTTAGCAGTCTGACTTTTACACACAGACCTAATTTCTTTACTTAAACAAAGGCAGAGGATGAAGCTTGAATTCTGGTGATCTTATGGATCTTATTTTTCTGGCTTGATGTCAGCATCTTGATATCAGAGATTATTCCTGGTTAAACAGTTTTAAAGCTTTAGGTTTTGGTTCTAATTGCAGAGGGAGGTTGAAGAAAATTAGACTGCTTAGATTTAGAACAGAATTGAGCCTTTTTGTGATGTTTTTCTCCCGATCAGGATTTCAATGAAGATTATTCTGATCTGGATGGAATAGTACAGCAGCGAAGACAAGAGATGGAGGAGTCCAGCAGCACAGGCTCACAGACACCAGAGCTGGAATGCTTCCAAGGTGAGTGGGATCATGGAGCACCACGAAAATGAGTATGGCTTAGCTTTCAATTATACTCCTGTAATCCCCTTCTGATGTGGAATCTACATTCTCCACAGTCCTGGAGAATTATGTGATTTTTGAGGTCTTCCTCAAGTCCTCGATACCTGCATTTTTGTTATTTCGTTACCCTTTGCAATCCACATTCAGGCAGTGACTTGGTCATCAGCAGATCTCAATTGTCACTACTGCTTCCAGTTGCTTACCCATGCTAGGACAGGTACAATGTAGGAGCTGTTCCTGCTTTGAAACACAGAAGAAAAATACTTAACACTGCTGCTTGCAATCTGCTCTTGTCTCAGGTTGTTCACCTAAATAGCAGTAATGCTGTGTGGAAACTCACTACATATAAGTTAAATGAGTACAGCAGTACTTGTTTTTTGTAGCCCATGCTGAATGTTACTTCATGAGTTACCATCTTTTAAAGGATCTGGAAATATACAGGCAACATACATTATCCCTTGTTTTTATTTTGTGTTGATGCAGAATTCATATGTAAACTATTTCAAGGATACAAAAAACTGCTTTGTACCCAATGACAGAAATGCACCTTTTAAAATCATCCTCTTCCCCTACTGCTTGACTAAGTTAACACACCAGCAATTTCCCTTGACTTCATATTTCAACTCTATTAAAAATCTTGCTTTTGACAGATTATCATGTTGTAGAAACACAGACTCACTTGAAAGTTTCCAAGACTGAGACCAAGTCTGTTCGTTCAGATGCACATAATAAACGTGGACCTGATGGAAAAGCCCGAAACAGTCCTCGAAATGGTACGGAATCAAGGGCAGACTCCATCAGCTGGAGTTACTTGAGATAAGTTTGCATAGTTGTGACAGTTCACATAATTTGGAAGATCTCTGTCTTGGTTTTCTCTCTGTTTGTATTAGCTGTTGTATGCTTCAAAACACTGTTTGTATGCTTCAAAACACTGTTTGTATACTGTGGTCTGCTCCAATCGAAGTAACATTTGGTTCTTTTCCTTGTAGACCATTCTGAAGCCTTCAGATTCTTCCACAAAGTGAAGTCCCAGAAGCTCTTATCTCTGAACCATGTGCTTGTGTTTTATGCAGTTGTGTAAGTTAGCAATTAATACCAAGATTGTCCAAATATTAGGATTTTCTTACATTTACAGAATTGATATAATCTAAGCTTCACTGGAAAAAGGAAAATTAGGGAATTGTGACCTTTATACTTTTCAGAAGTATATATATATAAGCCTGCTAGGACTGGCCTTTTATATGCAAGGGGTCTTTTGATTCAGGAAATGTTTACAGTATTTAAGTACTTGCAAATTCATTTTGTATATCATTTAAAAAAACCATACTCAAGGCTGAGACTTCCATAACTGTCTGAATGCTAGTGATTGTGTTCCTGAAGTGTTTCTAAGAATGATACCTTTATTATTGAACATGTACATGTAGCAATTTAAGTGGCTTTTAACATTAAATTTGTCAGGTACTACCAAAGGTACTGATCTACTTTATTCTTCTCTCTTGCAGTGTTTGTATATTAATATTTTCTACCTTCTACATGAGATATAAAATCAGTGTCCTGGAGGAACGTCTTATGTCCATCACATCCTTTGATTCACATATTAAGGAGTAAGATGCAGTCTTTAAAACACTCACTCTGGGGGTTTAAAATCTTTTTCAAGTCTCTCTCGTGTTCACCTATGCTCTTCAGAAACCAGTGTAATATTGTAGTGCCCATGTGGTCCTTTAGTGTTCTCTAATTCTTTCATCTAGCCTAGTCTCATCATTTTGTTTCAGACTATTAGTACAAATGTGATATATTGTGGTGTACTGCTGTCTTGAGAATATTTCAGATAGCTGTGGGTACTTCACTGTAAACTGCTGAAGTGAGCAGCTCCTTTCCAGAGCAGTAATCCTTGAAAATGGTGTAACTTCAGTCTTGATGTAATTTGGTTAGTCTAAAATAATAGAACATACTGCATAATCTTTGGGCCAGTACACCTGTCTCGTTTGTGTACTGTTTTCTAAAGCTTTGGGCTGCCTATATTCTCTTTAGAAACTGATATCCTATCTTGCTAAAGTAAAAAAAACCTATACCAGAAAACCAAACCAAACCAAAATCCAAACACACCAAGGGACAACAGTTCTTTGTGTATTTGAAGGGGAAATAGGGAAAGGAACCACCGTTCCATGAATAGTTCCTTCCTGTAGCTAATCCTGGCTATCATCTTCCCCTGTGGTTAGTCTGTTTGTTTGTTTTGTTGTTGTTTTGTCTCCATGTTTCATAGACAGAAAATATGCAAAGATTAAATGGAGAGGCAGTACAGAGGCATGTGTTTTCCACAGTAGTTTGCCACCAGAACTTGTGTCGGCTTCTTGCACCTGTCATAGGACAGAAGGCAGTTAACTGGATACTGCTGAAAATACTAATCAGTTTATTGAACTTTGAATTAGCTCTTCTCCCCTTCTTATAACAAATTTTTTCCTGAGCTACTCTGAAAAACATGGCTTCAAAAGTCATTTGTAAAGTCAGTGCAAAACTTGTAGCCACATGCAGCATGAACGGAAATGCTGACAGCTGGAGAAGCACCTTATGAAAAAAGAGAGGGAAAATAAAATTCAAGACAGAGCTGACTCAGGCATTGTGGAACTGTCTGCAAAGTGTTTCAAACCTATACCAAGCTCCTAAATAAGTGTGCTTTTTAATTCAACTTTCTTTGATGACCCATCCATGAAAAAGCATGTCGCTCTGACATTACACTTTTGGTCATATCGAACAATGACTGGCCTGCTTACGATCCAAATGCTTTCAGCTGTCATCTGTGGAAAGCTGTAGGACTTGAGTGCGTGTGTGAGAAGACAGAGCTAAGTTCTTCATAAAAAAGGGATAGGAAGGAAACGGTTCTCTGTCTTAAAGGGCTTTGTATTTATATGTTACCAGCAATGCAAGGAGCGGGGTAAACCTGCCTCACATAGTGCGTGATGTCAAAAGCCTTTTTCTCACTTCTGGCATATTTTTATTAACAGAATGCTGTGTCGCTCTTCAGAAACTCAAGACAGTCCTGTTTCTGGTGTTCTAATCCCAAAGAGTAAAAGATACAGGAAGGAAGATCTAATGTGCACTTCTACATTCTCAGGAGGGTGGGCTTTTTGATTTCCTCCAAGTCACAGGATGTGGAACTTATGCACCTTTTCAATGGAAATAGCAGTAAAGTTTTACATCAAAACTTCTGGAGAATGAGACCACATAAAGTGACTTAGTACTTTGTTTGTGTTAATAAGTACAGTTCACAGTGTTGCCACTGTGTTGCCTTCTGTAGGTGAATCCCAGTTCTGTTTTCCTCTTTTTTTTTGAGTCTGTCACACTTACTTTTTCATTCCGTTTGACAGAAATCCAGTGCACCAAGGTTTGGGATCTCATCTGCAAATTAATGCTGATGCCCTGTGTGATGAGTTAACTACCAATCTTGTGAAATTGGAAAAGGTAACATACTATGATATAATCAAATGCTGATAGACTAATCAGGTTCTTGCTATGTTTATATGATCTGTTATTTTGAAAAGTGTCAGGTTACCTCCAGATTTGATACCAAAAGCTGACACATTTTCTTAGACAAAGGACTGTTTTTTGAACTACAAATTAACCCAAGTATAATATTGGTATGTGTAGAAATTTTGCCTTGACCCGATGCTTATAACTAGGAATACTGTCCCTGAATCAGGAGTGATTATTACATGTGGTGATCTCAGTTCTTCTTTTAATATATCAGGGCTAAGGATTTTGAACTTAACTTTTGTGGCTGTTTGATGAATTTTCCTGTTTGGGGCTTTTTTTTGAGTTTTGCTTTTTTGATTAAGAAAAACAATACTGGTTTTCATATAACTGCAAAACTAAATGAATTTGGTGACTTAAATTAAAAACTATACATAACGAGAGGGTGTGCACACTTCAGGTGTTGTGGCGTGCTAACTTTGGCCAGCAATCAGATGCCCACCCAGCCACTTTCTTACTCCCCTTTCTTAGTGGGGCAGGAGGAGAAAGCTCGTGGGTCAAAATAAGGGGAGAAAGACTGCTTACAAGTTACCATTGCAGTCAAAACATGCTCGACTCCGGGGAAATCAATTTAAAGTAGTACTAAGTTAAAATAGATTTGAGTATTGATAAACAAGGACAACCAATAGAACACCTATCCTCTCCCTTGTGCCAGGCTTAACTTGATTCCTTTGCTGGTGACTCCTAACCCACATGGGGCTAGTGGGGGGATTACATTCAGTGCATAACTGTTTTCCCTCTTCTTCTCTTTTCTTCACCTATTTTCTACCTGCTGCAGTGCAAGCTCCTCCAAGAGCCCCAGTTCTCAGGAAATGCATGCTTTGGCATGGATTCTCCATGGGCTGCGGTGTGGACATCTCTGCCATGAAGCACCTCCTCCCCCACCTCCTTCTCAGAGCTTGGGGTTTCTTTTGCTGTTTCCCATCCTCTTACTCTCCTTCTGTCTCTGTATGGTGTTTTTTCACCTTTCTAAAATACTTTACCAGATGCTCCACCACCATCATGGCTGGGTTGATGCGGTGGGTCCATCAGAGGCTGCTGAAATGGCTGTGTTTAGCATGAGGCAGCCCCTGATTCTTTCTCACAGCTGCTGCCCCTGCAGAGCTCGTCCCACCCTGCCCCCAAACGCTGATAAATGCATCCAGTACAGGTATATGAAATGTTGCGTGTTGGGAACACATACGAAGGCCAAGAATGACAAAAGTACTGGTGGAACAGAACCAAATTCCTGTGAATTCCTATGTGCTTAAGTCACATGGGATATTTTTGCCTCTGTTTCTAAAACTGAGTCTGTGCCAAGGTCTTTCAACACCTTTTTTCCCCAAACCAAATTTCTCAAACAGCATAAAGCTGAGATTATATGATATCACCTCTGTGGCACAGATTTTAGAAATACTGCCAAAAAGGAGTTTCTTCCCCACATCTTCAACCCCTTGTCGGTGGAAATCTAGAGTAATGCTACCATTACCCCTCTCTGTGCTCTGAATAATAACAGTGTGAGTACAAGGGGAAAATGCTTTCCAGATGGTTACCAGATAGAATCTTTAGCCAAATTAGGTCATTTAAGAGATTACTGCTTTCTGGCTGTCTGGGACAGGCTGGCAAGATGGTTCATGGGAGGCCTTATTTCAGTGGGAAGCCAGCCAGCCAGCCCTTTGCAGCAGGGCTAGACACTTTCCCATTCCCTTATATAGTCTCTGCTTGGAGACACAGTAATAGGCAGCTGGATGGTTGGATCATTCAGCTGTTCCCAGAGAAGTGAACCCCCTTAAGCCGTGTGGTTTTTTCATTTGGTGTCTACCAATCTCAAGGATTGGACCCTTAAAAACTTACTTGACAGCTGTTCAAGACAGTGAAGTGTTCTGCATACAAGATAAATCAGTATTGCCCATAGCTGCATAATGCCACATGCTGGTTCTCTCTAATCTAGATTAGTGGTTAAAACAGAATGTTTGACCCTACTCTTTGTACTGCAAAACTGGTAGAAATCTAATAGCTTTTTGTTCTCTGAGCAGAGTTACTACAGTTGCTTAACAGTTTCATATGCTTTAGTGAATAGTGGTGCAGCAGCAGAGGTGGTGTAAAAAGTTCCAGTGCAATTTGTCGTCTCTCCACTTGCTTATTCTGTGAGCGCAGCACTGTAAACTGGAGCACAGAGATTATCTAGATTGAAAACTAAAAATTACTTTGCAGGTAAAAGATGTTCAGTGCAAGAGTATGTTGCAATGACTTTTTCAGTGTGACCTTGTGATTTTTACAAGCTCTCCTTTATGCCTGGAGCCAAGGAACTACCATGGCTTATCAAAATTCTGCTAATTTGGCATTTAATTTTATTTAACAGATTGTTGAAATGCACCATGTGTATCAGAGGATAAAGTGTTAAATGGGGGAGGGAAAATGTGTCCTAATATTACTCATTCCCTTACGCTAACTTATCTTGTTAAAAGGAAATTCATGATTGTGTTGTAACTCTTAAAAAATTAGGTACTTCTTACTGTTTCCTTTCCCCCAGAATGCCACTCTTGAAAACAGTATGCATCTGGGATAGAAATCATGAAGTAGAATTAAAAAGTGGTATCCTTGAACAGGAAGTAAAATGGCTTCTCAAATAAAAGCCTGAAAGTAGCTGGGACTAAACCTTCTGTAACCAGTGACTGTGAGTTACTAAGATACTGACATGTCAAGTACTTGTGTGCCAGGGGATGTGACCCACTATATTCCCCTCTCTCTGCTTTTAAGGACAAGGAGATGAAAAGTGGAAAAATAGGCTGTGTAAAAATAGGTCTGTACAAATTATCCTCAAGGATGCCGCTGGCTGGCATTACCTTCATTGTAGCTAAGAGAGGATGACCCACAATCAGTGGACTAAACCTGGCAAATGGGACACATCTCCTAACAGTTAGAAGACCTTATTTTGCTGTGCACACATCATAGAGGAAGCTGTTACAAAACTGTTTGAATTATCCACTTAAACCATAGAGCTGTGACTTGGAAGTTTGAGACCTTTATCAGATTTTGATCAATCTCAAAATAATTGGGTTTCTTGTCCCATTGCTTCAAGCTGGAATTTTATTTCTATCTTATTTTCTCATACGTAATGAAGGAGAGAATCTGTAGGAGAAAATTGCAGGAGAGACTCATCATATAAAAGCTAGGTATTGTGGTGGTCAGTTGTATCTAGGTGTTTCCTTTGATGCTAGTGCAGGAAACATTTAACAGGAATACCATTGGTATGAATAGGTGTGACAGAATTAAATTCACAGAGAGTATATTGAAAAGCATGTCTTGATTTTATTTTTTATTTCAAATGCAGTATAACACTTTTTGTGTCCCCCCTGTTTCCTTCTCTTTTTCTAAGATACAGAACAACTTACAGAAACTTCTTGAAGATGGTGAATGAAACATCATTGTTCTTGGACTGCTTCAAACCTCATTCTTCTGTCGTGACAAACAGTTCCAAAGGAGCTCTGCTGGCCAGAGTTCAAGCTTCTTTATTTTCAGTCCAAGCCAAGCTTAAACTACTGTAAAGCTCATGTCATAATACAAAAAGTCAGTTTATTCTTGAACATATATATCTATATGTTTTGAAAACATACATGGTTTGATCTACATGCATCTATGTGTTTTAAAAATATGGGGATTTTTCTTTCTCTTTTGTGTGTGAATTAGTGGACTTTATAGCTTGCTTGATTCTAGACTTGCTTACACCAGTGCAAACCTGGTCCATATCCTTTTACCTCAACATTTGCTTTATACCTGTTGTCATACAAACGTAAATGTGAAGAATTTCAGTCATGACTCATGTGCTGAAGTGCTGTGTGGATGAGCAGGTATCTCTTTTAGCTTTGGTTATGGAACGGTGCTGTGCTCTTCATTTTTACTTACTTCTTTGCACCCTGACATCCCAAAGATCAGAAAATAGATGCCTCTGCATTTGGGTGTGCAAAGTCCTGAATGTTTGAGGCGTGCTCAGTTCCCAGGTGCTGTAAAAAGTCTCGATTCCACCTTCTGTGACATTGTATCACCACTGAGGGTAAGGTCTGTTTCTACTGAGCATTCAGTTTCTATTGGAGTAAAGCTTGAAATCTGTATGGACTTGCCAACTTACAATCTAGTTGTTTATGAATGGCAGAATGGGTGTGACACACCTGCACAATTTAGAAAAGCCACTTGGGTTTTTTTTTGTCCACTCATGTCGTCTCTGTCCTTTACGTTAGTCAGTGTGAAGACCTCAGTCAGCTTTCCTTGGAGTTGAATGGGGTTTTGGTTGGCTGAGCAAGTGCAATTTATACTCCAGTTAGTGAAAATCTAGCCTTGGTATGTGACTCCAGGGACTGGATATTTCCACATAATAGGGACTGGCAAATTAATGGTGCAGCAATATAAACAATCAGTAGAGTGAATGAAAAAGTGGACACCTGCTTTGTTTTATCACATACTGTTTTTTTCAGAGTGCCTAAGATGGGGATTTTTAGCTTTCTGATTCACCAAGCAGGCTCATTAGTTTTTAAAAGCAATATTTAGGATAATAACAACTACTATCTGTAAAGTAACAGTATTGTTTGTAATATGCTATGCATTTTATAACCATTTCTGTGAAATGTACCTACTATGTTTAAATAAACTTTTTTAAAGCAAGCTACTTGACTGTAATTTGAAAGAACCCAATTCCATCCATCAGTTTTAGTCAAAGGTCATAATTATGAGGCTTATACCTCACAGTACAAAGTTTGTGCAAAACCCAGTACACAACAAAAAGGGTTAGGAACTGTATCCTGCTACTGTCCTTGCTCAGTTGTACATGAGATCTTCCCAGACTGCAATAAGAACACTACAAGCAAATTTGACCCCCACAGTTTTGAGGAAATTTTAATAACTTTCTCAAGGTCCTCAAGCTTCCTCCTTGAAGGATATTGGATGGGTATTGGCATGCTTAGGCAGCTTAGAGAGCCCTGTGTGCTCTAACATGGCTCCCTGGCTCAAGATTCCACCAGAGCACAGTATGTAAGAAATCTGTGATATTTGACTGTTCTCCCTATTGAAGCCTTTGATTCCTCAACTATCATGACTTTATTGGAAAAATCAGTTTCACAAGAAAAGTCTTGAAATAAGTAGGCTTATTTTTTTCCTTCTTTTTCTATCCTTATCCCTACTCTCTGCTACAGTTACATAGCTTATGTAATGTTGTGGACTGTAACCTCACTCTCTACCTTCTCCACTTCTCTCCCTTGAATTCTGTATCAGTAACAGAAGTCTGTAGCTCTGTATAGTTGAAAAACTGATGCCACAAGTCACCTTTGTCAAAGGAACTATAAGAAAACTTGATTATATCCAGCAGCTGAACTGAGTTAGCCAGTTACTCCATTACGTTGGAAGCTCTGTGCTTTGCTATAGGAGAACAAGGAGAGATATAATATTTGGCATGTGCCTATGTATATCAGGCAGGCTAACTCCTTATCATTAGCCATAAGTGAACAAAATAATTACTGGAGGGAATGAGTAATCAGAGGTGGAAGTGTGCCCTTTAGCCTGTTACTGCAGCGTGCCAGGGGAGGTGAGTCTGGACAAAGGTGTAAGCTCCAGAGAAAGAATTGTCTTGTGACTTGGAAGTCATGTGAGCTCACTGATGCAATTCAGTGTGGCCGCTTCTTGCCCTTCTGTTGCTACCCTCACCCTCCTTTTGCTGGAGGGAAAGGATGTCCTCGGGGAATGTCACCCTTTTCAGATGTCGGTGTGCAGTTGGGCAGTGAGAAGTACTGAGGTACTTCAAACGGAGCGCGTGCAAGACCCTGTGGACAAAGTTTGCAAGCAAGTGGAGTGATTTAAATCCTGTGATTCAATCTTACACATAGAGAGGAGGGGGTTTGCCCCAGTCATGTTTGAGAGGAAAGTACCAACAATGATAAGCAAAGAAAGTCTGATTCCTGTGAGGGTGGGAGTCTGTTAAAGAGTAGGGGGACTTCTCCTACCGTCTGTGGTAGTGCATACAAAGGCTACAAGGAGGGCTTTTGCCTTTTGGCAAAAGTGCAAGTTTGCAGAAATAGGAAAGATGTGTGACTTCAGGGAAGTCAGAAATCCACACAAAATGCTTAGCACATACTCCTAATAATGAGCATTCATAATTTGCTGCATAGGCTGCATAGAAATCTGCTTTAAAAAGCCAACTTTAAAAATTCTTCCATGTTCGTTTTTCCAATTTTATCTGTTTGTTGTACTTCACAGCATAGAGGCTAGAAAAACAGCTGACTTCCACCAGCCTTGAAGGACCTAATAAGAGTACAAGGTTCTGGGAAGATACTTTGAAATTGCAGATGAAAGGCAAGAGGGGCACATCACTAATGTTTTCTCTAGTAGTGGTTGGTGACCCAATATTTTTCTCTAAACAGTCTTAGCCCCACCTTCTTCAGTTCATAAGAATGCATCTTGTAAGGGAAAAGAGGCAAAGTAAACACTGCTTGATTTTCTTTCTTAGAAAACAATTTTGAGGAAACTCCAAAGACACTTTGGTGCTTGTCAGCAGGAGCCATAGACAGCACCTGACTTGCCGGCAAGTGGACTTTGAAAGGAACTCCTGGCCTGCCGAGAGTAATTTAAAGTGTTTTTCTCCACTTCACTGGTGTGAACATATACTAAATTGCTGACAGTTGCTGGGCAGAGGGGAAGGGATGACAGAAGAGAACATGGAAGTATATTATAGACATGACTTTTTGATCTTTTGGAATTCCTCTTATCTTCAGGCTGCTGTCAATGGAAAGAGTCCTCCTTTCCATTTCTCCCCTCTTCCAGATTCATGGTTGCCACTTTCTTGTGCATTTTTCACAGGTAGCAAAAAGGAGACAAAAAAAGTAATGTGCATTTGGAGAGGCTGGTTGGGTTGAGGGGTTGTTGAATTAGTTTTCTGCCAAATCATGTACCAGACATGTATCAAGTTTAGGATACTGTTGGTGTGAAGGATGCAGCTAGCACTCTAAGAGAGAAGTATTATAAAGCCCCCCTCTCAGCAGAACATGAAAGGCAGTAACTCCCATTAGCATTTACAGGAAAGACAAACAGTTTTGTGAGTGGTTTTGTGTGGGTTTATTTAATACTATTAATTGCTTTCACGTGAACCTTCAAACAGGTGTGTAGTAATGCTTTCTGCTTCCTGCTACGCCCACACTTTCATTTGCGTGTTTCCACCTAATAGTCAGCTGATAAATGCTAAATAAATCTCTGTGTTGGTGTTATCCAGGCCTTGGCAGGCTATTGCTCAGCTGGTTCGGCTGCAACTGCTAGTGAGGTGTTATTCCCGAGTACAGAGGAGATTTTGCATTTACAGCGCAGGTGTGATATGCAGTAATGATCGTGGAAAAGCTGGCTATTTAAACAGAAAACTGAGCAAACATTAAACTGAGCAAACAGTTCCTTTTGCACTCAGTGCCTCTATAAACAGCAGAGGAATAATGTCGTTTGAAAGCATTTTACCGGCACCTACTTTCAGTTTGCCTGGTGAGACTGTCTGAGTCTGACAGGCAAATTTGCTCAGGAGGGAAAATTGACTAATCTTGTTTGACACTTCTGTGTTTATACTTTGAACTCAGTGGAGCTTTCTACTAAACATGGTTGCGTATAATGAGACTTTACAAAAGGGATGGAGGTTTTTTGCTTTCTTGGGTTTTAAAATCAATGTAATACCACTTTATGGTTGTAGAGCCTCTTGATATCCTACTGGTCACTGAACAACCATAACAAAATATATGCCAGTAGATTTCACTTAATTGTCCCTTAAGTTGCTGTTCCCTGTTTGTCAGTAGCCATCCTGTATTTTAACAAAAAATCAGTAAAATCCATGCAATAAAAGAATGTACAGTATACATGAACTCCACAGCACTTAAGAGAGTTTATTCCCTGAGCTTCATGCAATGTCATGATCACTGTCACTATTGCTGTCCAAAATACAGGCATTTCACTGATACTTACATAGAGGTTTTTTTCAGACCTTCTGTTTTTTCTTCCTGGTGACATCTACTGAACCTCAAGTTTCCTTTTAGTCAAAATACCCATCAAGACTGTGCCTACTCAGATTAAGTCTAAGATTATTTGATGACGAGGCTTATATCCTGTGCTTAGGAAACCTTGACTACACCTGCTATCGGTAGGACCCTCAAAGGGGATGATCCCCAGAAATAACTGATGAGAAATATGCTCTGAGAGAATACCAGCAGGGTTACTATGATAATCAGGAGGTTTTATCTTTCTTCTGCACCTGGTTTCATATCATAATTTACAAACAAGGGGTCAGGCTGCAGCATTTTACCAAGCAGACTTTGAGCACGAATTCAAGGTATGCCAGAAAAGCCTTTGCCAAGATTGTGGAAGTATATATACAGAACTATAAGAATATTCCAGATACCCTCTGTTAAGTCACAAGTGCTTTGCATTAATCACTTTACCTATTTTCACCACTGTGGGCAGCATTTGTGCCAAAAAATCGTCCCTTTCTTGCAAGGCCAAGGTGTAAGGAGTAACCACCTTGAGTTGGATGTCTGTTCACTAAATAAACTGTACCAAAAAAAATGGAAATTAGCTCTTGAAGATAATTGTCCCAAAAATTATTGCCCATATGCATTTCATACGGACTAGGCTCCCTAGCTGCCAGCCTCTGTGAATTCAGTCTAGATAACTCTTCCCCCCATTGTTTTTTTCCTTTTGTTTGTTGTGTGTAGAGCCTGTGCCAATGTACTGTATTGTCTGTGTGACCTTCTTACCTTGCCAATTTCTGTGCTGAGTTCATTTGGAAACTGCTTAGAAGTTCATTATGTTCTTAGAGTTGAAAAGGCATCCTTCAGGCTTTACATAACCAACAGCAAGCTCATGTCATGATGATGTAGTAGTTGCATCCTGTTATGGAGGTGTGACATTCTACATTAGGATTTATTAATCCTTTGGCAATGCAGGTAGTTTGGACTGTACAATAAAGGCCTCTTCAACTGCTGTTCTCACATAATGGTATTGATAAGGTAATTTTCCACTGACTAGGCATTTTAGCTGTGCTTAGCAGGAGATTAAAGGAAAATCATTCCAGTGTGCTGCCAAGTACAAAATTAAAAACCAGCTCTTCGCACTGTCTTCAAATAGATGGAAAGGGTTCCCTTCAAGAAGAAAAGGTAATGAGTAACTTAATTAAAACCTTACATGCTGAACCTGGCACACAGGGCAAATATAGCTCTGAATCCTTCCCACACTTAAGGCTTGCTGTCGTGGCAATGTGCACACATGGGCACCTTCTGGAGCAGGGGCAAGGTGGGAAGAAAGTCAGCTTGTATTAACAGCTGTTTCCATGATGTATGTAATGAACTGTGAACCTTCTTTCACAAATGAATCATGAAAAATAAATGCCTTGACCCTGATTTACGATAGTAGCGTGAAGAGATGTCCTTTGGTGTTTTTCCCAGAAACTGGTCTAAGCAATGCCACTAACAGCACACATGAAAAAACCAATATAATCTACCTTAGCTGATTTGGAAATGGTCATGCTTCTAAAGACTCTGATCAACAGTAATGGCTATAAGGAAGAATGTTGCTGAGTGAAAGACAAACTTCTTGATTTTAAGAACACATCTGACACACTTCTCTTCCAAGTCCCTTCATATAT